AATATTAATTTTACGGTTTTTTTTTAATTTCCAGTTTATTTCTAATTTTTAAGTGCACAAAAGTATAGAATTTTTATTATGCACAAAAATTAAAAATAATGCAAAAAAAAAAAACTTCTCGGATGTTTCACTTTTGCTTTGGTTGCAGTTTTTGAAAGCAGCTTTTTCTTCGGTTGCATAGTAAAAATTCAAATATGTCTCCCACCTTTAAATAAGGATGTTTGAGATACCTTTCTTAAAAAGAGAAATGATTTGCCCTAGATATGAATTTCATAATGTTGTGAAATTATTAGAATATTTACTGTTAGCTTAGTTAACCACTTCCCTGGCAATACAGAGTTAACTAGGGTAGGTATATATTGCAACTATTTATTATCCCCAGAAAACTCAGGCGTAGCAAAATTTGTCAATGCGTTTTGTTTTCACATTTTTACTCAGGCGGAAGCAAAAAAATAATAATCTACTGTCATGGAAAGTTTGTCAAGTTTTGCTGTTAGATTGTGGGAATTTACATGTATTTTGAGCTATTTTATATACGAGGGTTGCTGAATTTGCACAGAAAAAAAATTTTTAAAAAATGGCATATCACTTCACTGGCGTTAGGAAGTATGGCTTTGTGTTGTCTCTAGTTTTAAGAACTATCATACAAAGACTAATATTTAGCTTTTTTCATTTGTTCGAGATAGCTCGGGATACATTAAATATTTTTAATTTATCCCGAATCAAATGTTTTTTAAACATAAAAAAATTTAAAATTTCAACTTATAACTTGGGTGTTATATTTTGTTTAAATTCTTTGTATTTATTAATGAAATAAAAAAAATATCTTAACTTTTTGCATTTTTTCCCCTCAAAACAATTGGTAAGGGAAATGGTTAAAGGCTTTTTCTTTTCCTACTCATTTAGTTTGTCACCTCAGAAATGTGGATGAATTAAGATAGGAAATAGGTTTGTAATACTTGGTTGTTGTGTAGGAACTATTTATTTATATTTTTTTTTCGGCAGTTCAATAATAGATTATAGGTAAAATTTTAGTTTACGTTATACACTAGCACAATTTTGAAATTTTTTTCCATTGTTGAATCAATGTTTTTATGATTCTTGCCAAGAATTGTTGAGAGCAAAAACAGAAAATAGCAAATGCATAAATATATGAAAAAAAAAGCTAATATTTCAGTAACCAGCAGTTGGCTCATCAGTTCATCACGTGGTATCCGACGATACTATTTCGCTATTTTGGGAGAAGGATGTGAACAATCCTATTTGGCGATCGTCAGACAAAAATATTTATTTCGCAATCTTTATGTGCATTCTTTTAACATCAAATATTTCATAAATTTGNTAGATTGTGGCACTTTACATGTATTTTGAGCTATTTTATATACGAGGGTTGCTGAATTTGAACAGAAAAAAAAAAGTTAAAAAAATGGCATATCACTTCACTGGCGTTTGGAAAGTATGACCTTGTGTTGTCCCTTGTTTTAAGAACAAAGACTAACATTTAGCTTTTTTCATTTGTCCGAGATATCTCGGGATAAATTAAATATTTTCAATTTATCCCGAATCAAATATTTTTTAAACAAAAAAAAAATATTAAAATTTCAACTTATAACTTGCGTGTTATGTTTTGCTTTAGTTCTTTGTATTTATTAATGAAATAAAAAAAATATCTTAACTTTTTGCATTTTTTCCCCTCAAAACAATTGGTAAGGGAAATGGTTAAAGGCTTTTTCTTTTCCTACTCACTTAATTTGTCACCTCAGAAATGTGGATGAATTAAGATAGGAAATAGGTTTGTAATACATACTTAGTTGTTGCGTAGGAACTATTTATTTATATATTTTTTTCGGCAGTTCAATAATAGATTATAGGTAAAATTTTAGTTTACGTTATACACTAGCACAATTTTGAAATTTTTTTCCATTGTTGAAACAATGTTTTTATGATTCTTGCCAAGAATTGTTGAGAGCAAAAACAGAAAATAGTAAATGCATAAATATATGAAAAAAAAGCTTATATTTCGTTAACCAGCAGTTGGCTCAACAGTTCATCATGTGGTATCCGACGATACTATTTCGCTATTTTGGGAGAAGGATGTGAACAATCCTATTTGGCGATCGTCAGACAGAAATATTTATTTCGCAATCTTTATGTGCATTCTTTTAACATCGAATATTTCATAAATTTGATATTTCTCTCTTTTGAGTGAATAGTTTGTCCTTTTGAGATATTTTGCTGGCAGTTCTTAAATTTAAAATATATTTAATTAGCTAGAGTAACGAAAGGTGTAATAGCAGATAATAAAGCGAAGTAAGTGACTGAAAAAGAATTCACTTTTGGCGCTAGGCATGCATTAAGGGTTGTCTCAATTTCAAGCGCAGAGAAGTTTCTCCTCTTACTCCCGCGTTGAAATGAACTCTTCGTCCGACAAGGTGGAGCCGAGTGCCAACTCCTGGTGAACGAACTGTACTTACTAAACAAACAATAGCCCACCGAATCTACAACTACAGATTGCAAACATCACCAAATCCACTGTGTCACGTATACTGGGATAATTAAACATGCAAATTTATGCATAATTATACAAAAATTATGCATCATATGTAACATGCAAAATTATTTTTGATTATAGATTATATTGATAACAAATGTAAAGAAAAGTTCTGATGATACAGAAACTAAATACACAAAAAGAAGGTATTCTATAGCCTCTGAACGTTGAAAATAGCTTCCATTTTCCAAAAAAAAATATGTAAACCTATAAACACAGATTTTTATAGTTGATAAAAATGTTTAACTTGTGTTAAATTTTACACAAAAATGATAACTAGTTTCATGCTTTTATTTTTAAAAAAAAATAGATTTAAAGTGGTGATTTTTTATTTAAAAAAAAAATCCAAGTGATTAAAATTCGGATTTAGGGGAGCACTGATGACATAGTTTATAAATATTCAATATTAAAACGGATAGCAGTTCGAATGAACCGCAAAATTTTTTTGAAATTCAATTCTAATAAATGTTTTAAAAGTTCGATATAACATACCTTTTTGTGCAAATTATGTAAAAAGTTGAGGATAATATTAACATGCTATGAAAGGTTTTATTGAAAATAATGCAATAAACTCATTTTTTTTAAAAATAATTTATGTCAAACATGAACAATTTTATGTACATTATATATACAAAGAATATACAGATGCTAAGTTCCTCTTTGTTTTGGTGACAGTTGAAAAAAAAAAAACCAATTATTTCTTATAAACACAATCCTTACTCGCAGTCAAATAATAAAACTCATTATCATTATTTCCATAACACATGAACAGGGAGCGCAGCCAAATCTTTCAACAAAAAATAAGCACATTTTAAGAACTCAAAAAATATTTTTAGCACTATATACATTAACAAAATGTAAAATAATTTACAAAGACTAGATATGATTATGATAAAACAACTAGTTTCTGACAAAGAACTCTTTTCTTGATTATATTAGCCACCATAAAAATATCGAGAGATTTTTCAATTCAATTTCCGAGGGCCTGAAATTGAGAATATCTTACAAAATGCAGCAGAGTCGCACACTAGAATCTCACCAAACTCAGCTTAGTAGACGCATATGCAGACTCGCAAGGTGGACCGGTGGTAGGCCGAAATGGATTGTGAAACGTAGATTGTGAAAACGTACAATGTGAAAAGCACGCTTTTGCATAATATGTGGCCAAAATCAACATGGTAAAGAAAAAAATATCTTTTTCGAAAAGGGAAAATTAAGCACCTTTTATAAACACCTAATGAAAAAGGCACCTTAAAGGGCTTTCACAAAATGAAAATAAGCACCTTTAAGCACTTTCTAAAACACTACGCACCATGATCTACTGTGAAATTTTTTTAAAAAAATTATCGCAAAGTAGTTCTTGTCGTAGGCGGTGCGATTGTTTTTGCTTTTCAGTGGCGACATCTATGGCCAAGAATTAGACTTCTGCCACACCCATATGTCACACCTGCTTATAGGGCAGACCCATTCATTCATCCACAGACCGTAATTTTGCCCTGAGCCAGAGAAAAATCAATCTCCTATTCAGTACCCAAAGAGACATAATTTGTTATGAGACTATGGAGGACTTTGTGACCCGACAGATTAAACATGCACTAGTCACCATTTACTACACGAGAAGTCTTCGTCCTTCTGGATTCGAACTCTCGCGAATGTGAGTTCAGCACCTTGCCAACCAGGTTATCTAGGCCCAATTATTGCAATTAAAAATTCTTATGAATTTTCTTTTCTTTATGATTTGTGTACTTCATTTTGAATTAAAAACCAGAATAAACTAAATAATTTTTTTTTCTAAACCACTTTCCTGATTATCTTGAGTAAACTCGGGTATGTATACATTGCAAATATTTATTAACTCGGGTAAACTCGGGTCTAGCAGAATTCGTCAATGCATTTTGTTTTATCACCTTTTTATTCGCCCAGAAGCAAAACAAATAATAATCTGCTGTTATTGGAAGTTTGCCAATTTTTGTTAGAGAGTTTTGCTATTTGGGACTGCAGACGTGCTTTGTAAAATTGTAAATACGATGGTTGATGAATTTACATAGAAAAAAAGAGTTTAAAAAATGACGTTCATTTGAAAAAGTAATGCAGATGATTTTTCAGATGATGAAGATGTGAACATATACAAAGACTAATATTTAACTTTTTCATTTACCCGAGATAATTTGGGATAGTAAACTGATGGCAAATTAAGTATACTTTAAAAATTAAAATTTCAACTTAGTACTTGTGTATTATGTTTTGTCTTAGTTCCTTGTATTTATTAATGAAATAAAAATATATGTTGATTTTTTGCATTTTTTTCTTCAAAAAAAATTGACAGGGAAGCGGAACTAAAAAACTTTATATGAGGTATAAATTTAAATGATTTGAAACAGAGCATCATCCTCTAAGTTTAGACTTTCAAAGGGTAGGAGTTGACTGCATTTATTAGCATACTTAAAATGTACAGGAGAAGTATAATAGCAAGTGATTAGTTTTTTTTAAATATTATGAACTGAGTTATGGAAAAAATCTTACAAAATTTTTAAAAAAAAGAGTTAAAATCTGCATCACTGTTACTCCTGAACACAGTGTTCTATGAGCAAATTCACTTCTTCTAGAGGTGTATGAATTCTCATTTGTTTTTCAGTCATGAAATCCAGCGCTTGTTTTAAGTCGTCTTCAAAGAATTCAACTCCATCCAGAACTAAATCCTAATAAAATGTAATTTTATTCAAAATTATGACTCAGAGTATTTGTATAAAATATATTACTTAAATTTGAAAACATGAAAAAAATATTTAGTAGTAAATAAAGCTTTAATATATTTTCTGGTGTCTGTCTAGGTATTTTTGAGAGGCACCTATTTTGTGAAAATTCAGACATAATTTGCAAAAATTAAAAATTATATTAAAAAATCAACACAAAATATGGTAAAATAAGAAAATATTTTCAAAAATTGCAACTTCAGTTTAATAAAAACATGCATTAAACAGTAATAGCACCAGAAGTTATTTTCCTTATGCGAACATTTTTGACTGAATCATACAAAAAAAAAAAATTCACAGAGAAAAAATGTTTCATAAAGAAGAAGAAATAGAATAGAATAATTTTACGAATAGAATAAATTTTACGATAATATTTACGATAACCGATAATATTACGTTATTATTTTACGATAATATTACGAATATTTAGGATAATGTTCGATTGTTTAGAATAATGTTCGATTGTTTAGAATAATGTTCGAACTTTGACTTCCTGTAAAGTTTACAGAGGAAGAGCCTCGTTGTTTCATTTTAAAAAACTCGGCTTGCAATGTAAGCCTCCTGCGGAAGGGTTACGTTGCATCGGGTTGCAATACACATGTAAGGGTTACATCGGGTTGCAATGTAACCCTCCTGCGGAAGGGTTACATTGCAACCCGAAATTAAATCAGGATTTAACGTTTTTTACAGGGATACAAAAACAAAATTTTAAGAGGTAGAGAGGAGAATCATAGAACTTCCTTTCTGAAAAGGATTTTGTGAAACTACCGTTTTCCTAAAGTTGAATTTGTGAAGGTACAGCTAAACGGTAGTAAAGTGCCCTGGACAGATCCCTGATTTTAATCATTATAATATTTATTATTAATACACATGTACCTAAGAAAAAATGAGCTTTTTCCTTATATCACAAATTTCAACATCATGGAAGCCATTTGCAATTATGGCAGCATTTCATTACAGCATAAAAAAATTACATATATTTCGTTTGCGTAATGTGTGTGGAGAGTACATAGAGACAATATCAACCTTCATCTATGAAAGGGTACTCCTCCATGTCTAATAAACAAGTGAATGGGAATTACATTTTTATTTATAGTGGTCAACTATTTATAGTGGTGGATACACTACAATATCCCTCACCAGAATTATATCTATGATAGAATTCAATGAACAGATACCACTAGTTGATTTAATGCTGTTTCGTGAGAAGCAGGGAGAGCTGTATTAAGATCACCGGACTTTTGCTGATCGTGAGAGCTGTATTAAGTTCATGGTCGTGGTTGCTCCCGTGCTGTCATTGGCGGTTGAGTTTTGAGACTGAGTAGCAACAGTGCAAGTGGGAGTTTCTGTTAAGGTATGCAAGTTCACATCAGGTTCGAAAGTCCCCAATGTGAGGAGAGTAGATAGCGACAATATCAACCTTCATCTATGACAGGGTACCCCCCCGTAGAATCGAGCTAACATGTCTTATAAACTAGTGAATGAGAATTACTATATACATGTTTCAAGACATCACAAAATACTTTTCCTTCTTCAGCATTCATATTTATATTAAAATCACCGTCAAGCCAGTCATTATACGTTAATAATAAAAAGAATATAAAAATACTTTAAATTATTATGATGTAAATACATTAAAAAGACCTGCTAGTGAAAATAAAAATAAAAACAGCAGCGGTCGCCTTAGTAACGCATGCCATGTTGACGACGCATGCGCACCGTTTGCCATCACTCTTGAACACAATTGACAAGTGCGTGGACGCCATCAAATCCAAACCAAGACCCACTTTGCTAATGGGTAATAAGATAATAATTTGGTTTTGAAATGTTAGGAAATATGTTATGCATATTTCAGCAAATCAGTCATATAAAGCAAAAACTCACTTTTAAAATAATTCACTTTCTTATTTTGTTTTAGAATATAACAAGTACCGTAACTTCTTCTTTTTTTAAAATATACAAATAATAATTAAAACTCAGTGTAAATACGATGAGGAATCTAGTTTTTCCACAACAGAGAGTATTATGTAAAGAAAAAAATAACATGGGGTTGATAAATTATAATTCTTCTTTTCTTCGTAACTTCTTCTTCTTTTTTAAAATATACAAATAATAATTAAAACTCAGTGTAAATACGATGAGGAATCTAGTTTTACCACAACAGAGAGTGTTATGTAAAGAAAAAAATAACATGTGGTTGATAAATTATAATTTAGTCATAAAATAATATCTACCTTATACCAACAGCAATTTTGAAGAGCTCTATAGTAAATGCTTTTGGCTTTTGTAATTTGCTTATTGGATATCTGAAAGAAAAATATCAAGGAATAATAAATTGACGAAAAAGTATTACTACAACTGTAAAACATGCATAGCTGCCAACACGTATAGGAAAAAATACAGTAGATTTTACGAAATAATATAAATTTCATGATAATTGTTGCAAAATATACAAAATATTTTACACATAGGAAATTTTAGGGATTTTTATAGACATCAAAATAGAAAAACTGCCTTATTTTCCAGTTATGATTTCACATTAAATAAACATGAAATGTTATGTGTTGTGTTTATCTTTCTGCCGGCCGATGGTCAAGTGGTTATCGTGCCTGACTGCGAAGCCAGAGGCCAAAGGTTCGAATCCCGCTCAGGACATGGATGTTTCGCTCTGCTTGTTTTCTCTATTGTGTGATGCGTGAATATGGCCCACCCTATAAAATTAGTATCTGTGGCAGTGTGGCGTGGGTAATGTTGCTCGCCTCCGTGACTTTGGCTCACAAGTGCCCATTGGGTAATGTTAAATGAGTAACACTTCCGGCATCTTCCTAGGCGAAGAACGTAAAAGTTCAGTGTCTGCTGTTATGAGAAAAAAAATGTTTATTCATCTTTATGAATAGTAATAGGAATTTAATTCAGAGATAGTCAATTGAATTTTGTTAATGAGATTTGCTTCATTAGTGACACTTATTTAAATATTCAAGAAAGCAGTAATCTGCACAAAAATTCTATTTCTATAGTGACTTTTTAAGGAAACTTTAGGGAATAAAATTTTTTTAATTTCCAATTTTAGGAAATTTTCTGAAATGTACAAAAACCAGGAGAATTTTTATGAAACCAAAAAACGAGGAGAAACTGGAAAAATCCAGTCGAGTTGGCAGCAATGAACATGTAAAAATCAATTTATGTGATTAATTTGTAACTAAATAATTTTAATGCACACATATTGAGATATTGCTAGCTCAAATGATGATATTTACAAATACAAAAGCTTAAAATGTGGCGGCAGTTCAAAAATATATAAGAAATTCCCTTTTCTTTCTGCACTATATCCCATCTGAATAACATAGCATAACCAGTTACTGCAAAAAATATGACTTGAAGAACAATTAACCCCTTGCCAGTATCGCCCGAACTGACATCGGGCAGGAGAAACGTTTCTATTTTGTGAAGCCTGAGCTGAGTTTGTTTCTATTTTAGGATATTTAATTCACTATATTCCTAATAGATGGCATTAGTTGTCCTAGTTTATCATGGATTATGACTTCATTCAAGGTAGGGAAACGAGGGTGGGGGGTTTGGGGATATACCATATTGTAAAAGATTTGTAAAATTTATGTATTGAAAATCATATTGTTGTGTTTTAATATTATATTATACTAGTTATATTATATTATATTATATTTAACTGAGGAAAGAGATTTAACTTTAAACTGTACAAGATTCATAAACAATCTGATATTATTAAATACATAAAAACAAATAGAATGAATTGGATCGCCCTCGTGATTCGAATGAGTGACGACAACACAATAAAAAAGATACTGCTTTTTAGACCCACTGGAAAAAGAAAGTGGGAAGACTGCGGTTGAGATGGGCTGACTCAGTGGAGTCTGATTTTCTCGCAATTAATTAAAAGAATTCGAGATCAAAGATACATCGGAAGTCGTCATGGAAAATCTTCAGAGGATGGCATTGGCTCACATTGGGCTGTCTGGCCAACTATGATGATGAGTTATATTATATTAAGCTTCAAATTTTGTTTAATTTGCTCTAATTGAATAAGATGTGAGTGTAATCCATTACTTTTTTATGTGTATGTAAAAATTATAAATACAGTAGTTATTGCATTTAAAATGTTATTTTTGCAATAATAAAAGCACTTTCTAACTTTGATAGTACTATAAAGAACAAAATTAAACAGTCAAAAAAGTTCATTTTTCTGAAATATATGTCACTGTTAAAGGGTTAAAGAACACAAAATTCAAGTGTTTTCCAGGGGAAACTTTGATAGATAGCGTAATTCAAAATTTTAAAATCAGATTTATGAATACCATTAATTCATTAACGTATAATAACAAGTCTGATCAGATTCAGATTCACATTAATATTTAGTACCAAAATACTGGAAAACCAAAGATATTGTTGTTCTTTATAAAGAAGGAGATGATCCTTCGCACGTTCTTGACATTTCCAAGTATGCAATAGACATAAATGACTTAAGGGATTTATTGAAAATATTTTCCAAAACATGAACAAGTGAAAATCAAAAAGTCATTGGAAACATTTAAGAAAATAATTAATTCAAAATAAAAATATATGCTTTTTTATACCTCCTATTTTATGTTCTTAAAATGTTCTATAATGATTATTTTTTTCTTCTAAAAATATTTATTTAAGAGTACCGGATCTTAAATGATTTGAATTTGGGAGAGTCATTAAAATAAAAATTAGCACAATAACTATTAATTTGTCTGTAAAGTAAAGGTGGCCTGTGCACAATAATGACCCTATTGTCACCTGTCAGGCGTCCAATTTTTAAAGGGGACGAAACTAAAATATTCAGTTAGATAAGTTTTAAACATTTTCCTTATGAAAAAAAAAATATTCCACCTGCAAAATGCTTAATTTCTTTAATTCCTTAGTTTGTTTAAAATAAATTAAATTTAAATTGATGAAAATTCATTCAATTTTTTAATACATTTTAAATAACAGGGGGGGGAGCTTTCTAAGATTTCGACTTACTGAAGGTGACAACTATCTACCATTCATTGCACCAACAACGCCTATGATTAATATAACCATAATTCTATTTGTGTTGAAATTGTAAAGCCTTAACTTCTATGATAACTCAGGCCTACAAAAAATTGGTGCAGGTATAGTCCAAAATAACTATTAAAAACAAGAATAAAAAAATTTTTTTACTAATAACTAATACTAGAAGGATACAATAAAACACGAAAAAATTTTAAAAGGAGTATTGAATCATTATGTACATATTAAAGAGCAAAGAGAAGATACAAGAAAAACATGGATTTTTAATTGAAAACAAACATAAAAAGAAACCCTACTTCAAATTTCAGGTAGGACCTCCACAAAAGAGGGATATAACAACATAATGGGGATGTCAGCATTCTTTCATACAAGGCTCGGATTTTCCACATTATCCCAAGACTAAATGAACTATCTGTAGCGAGAAATGTTAACAAAAAATGTTAAAAATACAGCACAATCTAGCACTGATTAAGTATAAACACACACATACACACAAAAAAACATTATCCCAAACCCAAATGACCTATCTGTAGCAAGAATGATTAAAATACAGCACATAGCACTATTTAAATATAAACATACAAAAAAAACATTATCCCAAGACTTAATGACTACAATATAGCACAAATTAAGTATAAACACACACAAAATTTTAATCTTCAAAATAAAATAAAAATTTCATTTTTAAAGTAAGTTCAAATATAAAAAGTTTACAATGTGTGTACTGAAAATAGATATATCAAAGCTTTTAACAGTGAAATATAACTAACTTTTTTTTCTTCCAATTTCTTTTTTTTTTGTAATATTAAAATGCAAATTAATTTATTTTTAAGGAAAAAAAATTTGTATTTCTGATGTATGAAGGGTTTTTTCAAATTCTTGTTACACCCACAATTTTTTTAAGGCTTTCTTTTAAAATTTATATAAAATTCCATTCAAATTCTGAAATGAGCCTTCAATTCAAAAATAATTCTCTTTAATGCTAATTTATTAAGATACAGATCTGTAAAGTGTAAACATTAAGACACATATTATAACTCACTTAGCGATTTTGCATGTAACAATTCGGTTATTTATCAGAGTTCTCCAACAAGGGCGCCACAAACTCATATTTTTGGGAGGGGATAAATTATCCCTTCAATGAATGAAGTTCCTAATTTAACCAAATCATAAATAGATTTTACTCATTGAATGTTTTCAAAAAAAGGGGTCAGCACTTGATTTATTTATAAAGCGTTCTTAATGATTTGGCAATTTTGATGGGACTATTCTAAGTGTACCTTTATTTATTATTCTTTTTGGTGGGTGTTTCCTTATTATGTCTTATTTTGTGTACTTTTAAGTCATTATTAAGACTTACTTTGTGATTGTTTGTCACTTATTTTTCTTTGCATTTATATATCAATTTTTCTAATTGCTTTCTCTTATTTGATTTTCCATTATAGGGCCTCAGTTTCACCACGGTTCAGTCGGTTTTTGGTTTCACCATTGACAACAGAGAGGCTTCTGTGTGTTAGCAGGCAGTGTGTCCCCTGATGAAGTGTTGTCCTGCTAACACACATATCTTAAAAGTTTTATAATTTTTGTTTTTTGCTAGAATTGTTTTCCTGATTTTATAAATTAAAATAAAACATATTTGAATTTAGCTGCTTCAAGCGCTTCTCTATTTTGATTTATCATTTTAAATGAAACTTACTTATTTTGTCTTTTTCTGAATTTGCAAATTAGTTTCATTCTTTGATTAGATCATAAATAGGTATGTTATTCATTTGCTTCAAAAAACCTATCATGCAACTAATATTTGCATTACATGAAATGCATTAATATATTACTGATTTATCAATTTTATATCTGTTTATACTTGTAAATTAGCTGCAATTTCTGAGTGAGTAAGATACTAAACTGCTGTAAAGAACTAGGGTTCAATTCCCAATGGCAACTTGAAGCCCTTCAGATTGATGGGTACCAGCTTGTCAAAAAAGTAATGGTACCAGCTTGTTTAGGAAGTAAAGATGACCTGTGTACAATACTGACCACATTGCCACAATTAGGCTGTAGATCACATAATTAAGGGTCCTTAACCTCCCTGGCCACAATGAGATGTTGATTCATCGTTTTCTCGTAAATAAATAATGTACCATTTGATAAGTAAATATAAAACAAAGAGAAATAAATTAATTTGCAGCTAAGATGAAGGCATAATTTTTCAACATCCTATAAATCACATAACAAATTATTTCGTTTCAGCAATTCGCATCAATACTAAATAGAAAGATAGATAAAGCATGGGAGTTCTGTGACTTATTATTGACAAGTTTATTTTACATGATATTTTATATCATGAACATAAATACTACCTCAAATCCTTCCGGTTCTTGTGTTGGTTATCTACATCTTAATGTAATCTACATCTTATTATTGACAAGTTTATTTCACATGATATTTTATATCATGAACATAAATACTACCTCAAATCCTTCTGGTTCTTGTGTTGGTTATCTACATCTTAATGTAACGTAAAAGCAATCTTACAAATATATACATTTAAAAACAAGTAAAAAGTAATATAGGCCAGTTCCGTTAACCAGTTGTTTAAATTATTTTTATTTATTAATTTTTTTATTTTTCACACACAGACAAAACACCCCAAATAATAAAAATTATATTTGAATTCAATTGCACCTGGCAAACAGAAAAGTACCCAATATTCTAAATAAATAAGAGAAATTATGCGTTACCAAAGTCTTCTTTAGTAGAGTCATCAGAGGTATTTTGCTTGCAAACTAGAGAATTTAATATTGTAAGTTCTGAAGCTATAAGAAATATCCAAGAATGTGGCTGGATTTGAGTGGAGGATCTCTCCAGAAATTTGGCAAAAAATCTAGATGAGTAATGAACAAAAAAGTATATTACTATAATGCTAAACTATATTTCAGTTAATAAAAAGAAGAAAATAAGCAAGTGGTTTCAATAGCGAGAGACAAGGAATAACTTGGAGGGGGAAAAACCTTTTTATTTATCATCAGAGCTTAAAATTCCATTATTGGTTCAAACAAGCATATAAAAGTTGGTTTTATATTATGCTGCTTCAGAACACAGAGCTTAAAAGAACTCAAGCATGCATTATTTTAAAAGCACAAAAATGGCCACTTTTTTGGACTGACTCCTATCCATTTTGGTTCAACTTGGAGACAAGGATTTGAGCTTAACTTCAAAGGGTAGGCATTTCTAAAGGAGTATTTTGTGCAAGAAAGGTGACAGTACACAGTTAAATGAGCTGTGGCCCAAATCGGGAAATTTCGTGACAGATTTCACAGCTCTATATTTAGACTAAATGGGGCCACTCAGAATTTTTTGCAAATATATTACAGGTAGAATTGTTTATTTGAAATTTTAGTTGCAATATTTCAATAATAGACACCAATCTGTTACTCAGTATATTTTTTAGATCAGTGGTTTTCACCTGGTAGTTCAAGCTGCCTTTTTTTCTTTATTGACTGCAAATGAAAATATATTAATTAAAAATTTATTTCTTTTTTTGAAGGTCTATATGGGTTTCACATATTTGTTATTCAGAAGCAAATTTGACTTCTTTCAGTTTCTCTGGAAGTTAGTCCACCGACCCATATATGTTCTATTTCCCTATGTTCTCTAACCCGAAAAAGGAAAGTATCCTTAATTTATTAAAAAAAGATTTTCGACAAAAGTTTACAATCATGCTCGAGAATACTAATTTTTTATATTTTATATCCGTTGCTGAACAGCTGACCCAAATTCGGGCTTACGACTACTAATGTTCAACTTCGGCAGCCTTGTAATTTTTGAACCAATCCAGATGACAAGGAAATTCCTGGATCAGTACCTCCAGAGGTGCTGATTTGTCATGGGAACATGGAGGACTTTGCAACCTGACAGATTTAACGTTCATAAGTCACCATTTACTACACGGGGAGACTTCGGCCTGTCAGAATGGAACCCACGAACTCTTGAACAGGGGTCCAGTGTCCTACCAACCAGGCTATCCCGGCTTCAGGACTAAAATTTATAAAGAGTTTCCCTAGTTCCCTTGTACATTATCTACTCCTTCTCTCGAGACAAACTTAAGGCGGACGTTCGGTCTCTTTGGTGTCAGTTTCTTATGCAATTCTTTCACTGAGCATTTTTTTAACTTTCATGAAATTTTTGCTCCTTGTTTTGTAAATTAATATCTTAAGACTTGCTATTAAAATAAAAGTATTTTTGTTCTGTGGAAGTTTTTTTTTTGGAAATGAAATTACAGATGATAAAATAAATACAGTGACACCTCCTGTTAAGGACACTCTTGCGAAACGGATGCATCTCAATACGGACATATTTTTAATTACCCATGAATATTCTATGAATAAACCAATATGTACAAGCACATTCTCTGCAAAGCGGAGAGTCATCTTTGCCCTGAAACGTTATTTTCTATCTCGTATATTATGTGGTATTATTATGTGGAATTCATTTTAGCTTGGAATGTTACATTATATAATAAGATCTATTTCCCTTTATTTTTTAAAACAGGCAGTGTCAAAGTAACTTGTTCAGTTATGCATAAGATATAATTTATAATAAAATACTCATGTTCAGAGTTGACAAGGTTTAGGACAGAATGGATTAATATGCAGTTTAAACCGTCTTGTCCAAAGCCCTTTTTATTAAAATTGTCACAATTTTAAAAAAATATTGTGAAAAATAAAAGGTTAATTTTTGAACAAGACACAAAATGAAGACTATTTTTTGCTTTATTAAAAAAAGTTAATTATTATTTTTAATATTCATTATTTATCCTTAAGCAAAAACATAATTAAAGGATAAGGTATTCACTTTTGTTGTTCAATGAATTGTGGAGCTTTAAAACTTATAAATATTTTCCTATTATATTATATTATTTATCAAATATTTATTAATATATGTAATTATGGATACAATGGTTACACCTTTCAGAACTTTTACCTTTTACCAAATTTTATTACTTGTTTTGGACACTTTAGGACAGTTTGAGACTGTAAACCGCAAGTGTCATGTCCAAAATCAATTTAGGACGTCTAAAACCTCAACCTTGCTCATGTTTATTTTATTTTAGCATGGAATGTTGCATTATATATGATAAGATCAGTTTCCTTTTATTTTTTAAAACAGGCAGTGTCAAAAATAACTTTTTCAGTTATGCACGAACACTAATTTTATTGTTAAAAAGAAGTTTTATTTCAATGAACTATTTGTATATCATTACAAATTATAATAATAACATCAAAATAATTGATAAATACATGCTAAAAGATTAAATAGTACCTTCTGGTGGGGTTGATAAGAGAAGAGGCACTTTTCAATTTCACCAAATAGTGAAGAAGAGCTGAGTTGTTTGGATAGTCCGACACACACGTTTGCAAGAAAGAATGAAGAGGTTTGAGTGAAAAATCAGAATTCCAGGTATGAAAGTTGAGCAAATCAGCTTGGAAAATTGTTATTTGCTCTATCAGAGTCCTATGGGTGGAAAAAATTTTTTGGGATAATTTAAACAAAACTTGAATGCATCAGTATTAACAAGAAATTTATTCTACGTTAGTATAATACAAAATTAAAAATCGATCATTAGAATTTTTTGTGGAACTTCAGCTTTTAAAAAATTATGAAATTTCAATTCAGCAGTCAAACACAACTTTAAAACATGTGAGAGTAAAAAAATTCACCAATGGCAATGCTTCATACAGGAAATTTAGGTTAGAGATTCCAATTAGAATACTCACACACTATTGTAAAAATTTAATTACGAATAGATTTTTAACTATGAAAGAATACTGTTATATACAGTTATACACAAGCAAAATTCAAATGTGCCCATGACCGGCTTTTTTTTACAACATCAAACTTCTAAACTAAATTTTTTGATAACTATGAAATAATTTTTCAATCTTGAAACATTGTAAAGATTTCATATTACCTGAAATAAGATAAATTAATTTTAAACTTTCAATTCTTTTCATTTCATTCTTTTTTTAAAATCTGAAGAAATTTTTGTTACATCATATTTTATCTGTAAGATTATTTTAAAGACATAAATTACATTCTGAGAAAATGTTTAGTAACACCAAAATGTCACCCAAGATTTCGAGAATAGAGAGAAATTAAAATTTTTTGAAAGAAGCCTATCTGAATTTTTCTTAAAATTTTCTATTGTTATTGTGAGGTCAGCCGACGTCACCTTCCGCCATTATTAATGAATCAATGACGGCAGCCTGTAGTTGCTGAACAGCAGAGCTGCCTCACCGATCTAGAGAGTATATAAACATGTTACTAATAGATGTTCATCAATAATCTTTGTTACTTAATGCTAGCATGTTATGTTATGTTGGTTTATTAAATATATATTATTAAATATATATTTTAAGCTATCATGTTTCGTAATTGGAATACTTCGTCAAGGATACACACAGTCTTACAGTTATTATAATTCTTTAACAAGTTTGAGACTGTTTAAAAATTCAAACTTGGAGTGGAAAATAATGCAATTTATCTCAACATTCATGAACAATCATCTGCAAAAAATATTTTATTTTTATTTATTTAAACTAAATTTTCAGATTTTTTTTGATAAGAAAGTGCTACAAAAGAATTTTTTTTTCAAAAGAAAATACTAAAAACTGCAAGTCTTATGACTTTTTTAATGAAGTTAAAAGTAACAAACGAAAAAATTGGAAGTATTATTCTGGCATATATATAAAAATTATTAATAATAAAATTTTTATAGTTTTAATTTTTGATAACATACTGATAACATAACAAGTTATCAAAAATTAAAACTATAAAAATTTGATAATTTTGTGTATGTATGTAAAAATGTGTCTGATAACATGTATTTTTGTCCAAGGATCAAGTCATGATTTCATTTTTTAAAACCAATAGCAAAGTTTAAAGAAGTTAAGGTGCAAAAAATTTGAATTATTTAATGTAGGTAAAATAATTTGTGTTTATTTAAATATGAATATTTTTAGAACTTTTTAAATATGTTGTTTGTGTAAATAATTAAGAAATATACTTCCTTTTTTTCATGTTTCCTAGTCTATTAATTTATTCAACGTTTGATACATATTTTGTGTTTACAAATTCATGAGGATATCGAGTTTGTACAGGGTATCTGCTACATTTTAGATTTTCAATTTCATNTTGTGTTTACAAATTCATGAGGATATCGAGTTTGTATAAAAATAGCAATGATTTTATTAATTTAGTAAATAGTTTTGAATGATTAAATAATAATTTTAAACATTTTAGTTTGAAATATCAAGTACTTTAGCTATATTATAACATGATATTTGAACAATATTAAAATATTTTATATGAGCTGTGATTAATATATGTAAAAAAAAAAAAACATATTCTGATTTTTTTATTAAAAAGAACATGTTCTCTACCTTGATAATACAACTAACCCTGACAATAAAATTACTCCAACCCTGATAGTATAATTACTTAATTTTTTGATATTACTAATAAAAAAATTTAAGATATCTATATTCATTTATTGACTATACTGCTTGAATAATTAAATTTAAAATGGTTTTTGTAATTCTACTCATTTTAAAGAAGAAAAAAGAACAGAGAAGGAAAAAACACAAATAAAAAAAAATATATTGCTTACGTTTTAGGAACATTTTGGAGATTTGCAATAAAATAGTCAACAACCTCTTTAAAAACATTCATAGCTGAATCAATACCTTTTGTAAAATACTGTAAGAAGGCAAAACATTTTGCACAGTCTAAAGCTGAATAGGAAGTCGGGTCAATGCAGAAGCAGAAATCAAACTCCTTGCCAACAACAGATTGTAGTTCTTGATGAAGCATACTTTTATAATTTGAAACAGCTCTCAAATGGAACACTGGTTTAAGAAACTCACTGGAAGACGTTTTTGTGTATTTTTCTTTGCAGCCGATACAAATAAGGATAGCAATTATTTCCTCGTGAGAAAATATTTTTCGATCACAGAAAGATTTGTCCGTTATTCCTAAAGAGTAGTCCAAGTAAGAACGGATAAAATACCACATTTCTCTCGTCGTCATGGTTCCTGCAGCTAGACCCTGAGAGCTAGAACCTATCAAAGTCTCAAAAGTTTTTTTTGCTTTCCTTTCTGAGTTTATTGACTCTATTTTTATGAATTCAAACCACAGTGATAAACGGTTACGATTTTCGGTTTCTTGCAGAACAGATTTTGAAAGTTTTTTTACATCGTCCACTTTTATAATCGAGTTGCCAATTTCAGAAGCAGATTCTCGGTAGAATTTTAATTGCATCAAAGATAAAAAAGTTTTGAATTTCGATGAAAACACACATGGCGACTGAGAGAAAACATTGTTTAAAAATTCAAATTTTTCTTTACATATTGCCTTCTTTTCAAAGCATAAAGGTGAAGAGATATTTTTAAACAGAGTAGTTTTTAAAGTTTCTGTTACTTTGTCAAAGTTGAAAATATCAATATAAATTGATTTAGAGTTAAGGGATGGTAAATTGCACTCAAAATTGTGTGAGTTGAAACCTAGGAATTGTATGAAATGAAAAATTAACAAAAATTTGTCTTCCTCTTTCGGTATTCGAAAGAGATACTTGGATACATCACCAAAGGAAATAATTCTTTCCGTATCATCTATGTCATCATCAGTTTGGTCATAATTGGGATTAGGTTTCCAAGGCAACCAGTGATGGTGTTCTCGTAACTTTTCAAATTGGAGCCATGTTTCATGAATTGAAAGTTTTTTGTCAAGGATGTCATCCTCAGTGTTATTTAGATCTAAACAAGAAAACAAAATTTATTGAAAAAGAAGTGCCCACTACTGCACATTGATATTGTTTTATTCTGAAGATTTAAACAATGACTGTGATAAATATATGTTTTAATTTTTAAAAAACTCTTTATAATTTTAAAGGTACATAAAACAAATACATATGGGCATGTACTTCTGAAATTATATATAGTTTTTACAAAGTTAATCTGCTTGTTTTTAAAATCAGGCACATTTTAAATCTTCAGAATATATATATAACATAATAAAGACAAAAAGGATAAAAAGAAAAAAGGTAGAAAATTAATAAGTTTCATTTACTGCACATTAGTTGCAAGTATATAAAACTCACAAATAAATTAAATTAAAATAAATTAAAAAATATAGAGAAAACATGGAAAATATTAAAGATTAATGAAAAGAGAAGAAGAAAAATTATTAAAANAAAATTATTAAAGTAAAATATTCAAAAAATATACATCAAAAAGCGGGGGGGGGGAATGAAAATATATAATCTCTTCATCAGCTCGCAGAATGATATCCGAAAAAAGGAGTGAATTCTAATATTGTATCAATATAGCCAAAGCAAAATATATCAATACAATAGTGTGAGGAACACTAAAAATAAATAAATTTAAAACAAAATAGAACCCATTAAGTAAAATAATATATCACGTAAAAAGCAGAAAATAAAATGTTAAGAAAAAACAGAGCAACACATAAAACGAAATCTATAAAACGAGTAGCGAATTCAAATGAACTTAAATAAACTGAAAACTTTCAAGAATGATTTAAAATATTCTTGTAATATGATTGCCAGATTAAAATATGAAAACAGAAGTGAAAATGCAGTTAAAAACGGAAATAGAAGGATTTTGTTTCATGGCATATTCTTACTGCAGTACAGAAGCATGTGGGATTTGTTACTTACCAAGGATTGTCCCAAAAATGGATATGCGCAAGGTAATATTGGATGTGGATGGATATTGAAAATGGATATGCGCTGAATAATTTTAAAAAGTTCATACTTAATAAAGATTGATATTTAATTATACAATTTTAAAGATTTCAGAAAATGAACTTATTTAAAAAGAGAGAGAGAGAAAACATGATTTGTCCGTTTTGCACGGATAAAGCGTTTTATGCATCAAGTCATTATTGAAAAATAAAAAAAGTAATCAAAACTTAGCTACATTATTAGTATGAGGTAGAGGGGAAAAAACTATAATCGAAATATTTAAGACAATAAAGAAAATTAGATATTAAGATAATTAGAAATATTTAAGATAAATGAAAAACTGAGTAACCAGGATTGAAAAAAAAAAACTAAAGTGATAAAGTTGAAAAAAAGAAAAAATATCTTCTTAATTCTTAATACAAAACTCTAATGATAAAAATAATATTTTCTAGAAAAAATTATTCATAAAACTTTAAAAAAGATATCTATCAGAAACGCTTTTCAAAATGCAGTGCTATCGTAAAAATCCTCATAAAAATATTATATACAAAAGAAAAACTAAAAACCGATCTTAATTTTTGAAAGAAAATTTTGGTTCAAAATTACAAATGGGATTAAAAATCACAATACTACAGAGTTGAACATTAGTAGAACATTAGTAGAACGAGAAAATTGGGTCGGCTGTTTAATGACGATTATAAAATAAAATAGATATTTGTAATGTTTGTTTACCTGACTGGGTAACAATTTTGTTGAAAGTAATTTTTCTCTCATTAACTGTGGCTGCCCAACCAATAGCACCATCTTCTCCAAATCTTGCCGATCCACTGTCCCAGAATGGTTCCAGAAATGAAATCTGGTCAGAAAGGGGAAGGACTTCAATACCATTCTCTCGAAATAAGTTGAACTCAATTAAAGATTGGAATGCCGCAACTGCTTTCTCCATGAAACCACAACTTTTAAGAACAAAACACATTTGGCTAAAAATATCTGAAGAAAAAGTTCAAGTTTGTTAATACCAAAACTATTATTTATACATAAATACAATCAAACCCTGGTATAGTGCACCTTCAAGGAACCGAAATTTCGGTTCACTATAACCGGGACTTCACTATATGCGTTCCGCAGACACTTTTAACTAATGGTTTCCAACTACCCCTTTTTATTACACACTATTTAAATAAATGGCGAATAAAATGAAACACAGAAATGACTGAAAGATAATAAGTAGCAACAAAAATGTGTGAACTTTTATTTTTTAATACTCTTCATGTCATCTTGAATTTATGTCACTCCGCTTTTTAAACCTGTCTAATCAGTCATTCGAGCACATAAAAGCAGTCTCACCCAATTGCATAGCAATTTCATCAGTTTTGACTTGAAGCATTTGTCCAGATACTGGAAGATCGCGGCTTCTTTGAATGCTGAACCAATTCAATAATGAAGAAAACAAGAAAAATGCTTATTGCTACATTTCATGCAGTAGATGGCTTTAAAAATCGGTATATGTATTTATTTTGAAGTAGAAATTTCAAAATTATTACAGAAAAAATGAAGATAATAAATCAGTCGAGGATAGAAAAAAAGTTCATAATATCCAGCTTCCCCTCTTTTTTTGGTTCATTATATCCACAAAATGTAACACTATACGTGTGTAGCAAGGCAGGGGAGCGAACATTTCATTCACTATATCCAGGAGTTTACTATAGCGGGGTTTGACTGTATAAAAGTCAGTGGGGCAGTTTTTTATAGATTCTTTAGTCATACGAAAATATGTCAGTTTCTGATAAGTATTCGTAACTTATTTAAAAATATCAAAAACAAGTTGTTTTTTTAAAAAAAAATACATGGATTTAAAACTGAATTTTTTTTTTGTTTGTTCTACATATGAATAGCAAAAGTATATTTTAATACTAATTGTTTAATGAAATACTTTCTATACACATATACAGACCTTCATATAGAAAACCGATGCATAGTCTTGTTTGCTTTTCCATTGAAAATATATTTTATTTTAATGACTATTAGAATGCCTACATTGAACCCTTCACAGCGACTAAAATTTAATCATTTGATTTAGAAAAAGTAACAGAGAAATTCTTAAAATAATTATTTCCTAATGATGTTAGAATACAATAAATGTAAAACACATTTAATCTCCTTTGAATAAAAGAACCCCCTAAAATCTTATTCTAAGTTCTAGGTGGTCATGATTTATAGCTTTTCATATTTAGTGCATCAGTGTTTTAAGAAGAAACAATAAAATTTTCAGTCATGCTTTTCCTGTTTGATAATTGGATTTACTTTTATTTTGAAATGTCTGTCTCTTTGTGTGGTGAATTGGAATTATATGTAAAAGACGTGTATATGTGAAATATTACGACACTACACATGTAAAAAGATTATTTCCCGTTACTTAATACAGCTCTCACGATGAGAAAAAAGTATGGTGAGCTTAATACAGCTCTCCCGGTTTCTCACAAAACAGCAATGAATCAACTAGTGGTTTCCGTTCATCGAATTCTATCACAGATATAATTCTGATGGGGTAATACTGTAGTGTGTCTACCACTACAAAAATATAATTCCAAATCACTAGTATATAAGACCTGTTAACTCGATTCCATGTTGGGGTACCTTTTCACAGATGAAGGTTGACATTGTCGATATCTACTCTCCCCACAAAGAGGAGAATTTTTTTAAATTTTATTTTGCCCATCTTTGCAATATGTGTTTAGAACAAAGCTATCTATTCTGCAATTAAAACTATTTTTAAAATTATATATTCTACATAGAACATTTTAAAATAGAAACATTCAAGAGACTTTAATACCTACCTAACATTCTAGGTACTATATCAGGAGGTGCTTCATGTGATTCAATTATGCCCTCATTAAGATTTGAAAGAGTCGCAAGACATTTACAGTAGAGCTTCAAAATTCGAGGGGTGGTAAAATATGTTACATTCGTCAAAAAGAAAACAAAATATTCCTGCCAAACTTCTACGTTATTGGGGTTCAAGAACACTAAATTATCCCAGCTTTGTATCAATTTTTCTAACTTCCACAGACTTCTGCAGAGTTTTAACTTTGCAACATTCAGTTGAACTGATTTAGGATTGTGGCTTAGAGCTTTGTCTAAAATTGCAATTTTTTTCTCTATCACAGAAGACTCTGGAATTGAATCGGAACTTTGGTTTCTTTCACACAACTCATCTTGAAAGGAAACAAAGTCCAGCCACAGTTGAATGTCCCTAGGACATTCAGATAATTTTTTATTGAAATGAATTGTTTTCTGTCGCAACTCAAAATCCACAAAAAATTCCTCTTTTTCTTTGTTTTGATTCAAATCAGTAATCTTTGAAGGAGTTTTCCAGGAACGAGATATTCCTTCAAATGTTTCTTGAGAATAATCTGCACGCATATCAGATTCTCTGTTAACAAGAGAAAGAGGAATAAATGTAGAATTTGTTGTGAAAGAATCATTTTTTATATCAATTTTTTCTACTGTTTCTATAGCTTTTAATTTTTTAATCGATTTCTTACTGAAGTAACGTACAAGAGCATTTTGCTGTTTGGGTACATGGGATTTATACCACTCGTCTCTTTGTTTTTTATTCAATCCCACAGGCATTCTTGGATATAATTTGTACTTTGCAATATATTTTTGTTCCAAGTGTTCATAATAAATATTTTCTGGATCTCGATGTTGGTCCACTCGATAAGCTCGTTCATAGGATAGTCCAGTTTCTTCGATAAATGTCTTCTTACTTAAGTAACTTCTAATTGAGTCTCTAAAAAATAAATTTAGATTTAATCTTTTGAACATTCAATGTAGAAAAGGTTAAGTCTATGATAATAATATAAGCACAAATTAATAAATAAATTTAGTTAACAACATAAAAACAAATAATTAATAAAAAATACATAAATACTACGATTAGTCGAACTTTACTATTATGAAAATAATATATTCCGATATAAACAACTTTTCACCACTGTGGCAGAATTTTCTCGTGCTTTCTGCGATACACCTCTCTAATACTGATATCTTTCTGTAAGATACTTAATAACAAATACCGTATATTCCGGCGTATAACGCGCACTTTTAATACAAAAAATAACATTAGAATTTACGGGTGCGCGGTATACGCAGAATATAAAAAATTATAGATTAAAAAAATTTAAATATAGAAAAATACTTTTATTTTAAAGAAATAACATACCTTTACCTATATACTTCATTGATTTTCGTTATTACATAAATAGTTCATTATATTCGTCTTCCGCTATCAATTACAATTATTAAAATTTTTTTGTATTATAACTACAACTTTTTTTGTATTATCTGTAAGGTGGGACCTAAACATGTCCCACTCTAAAAGGCTTTCTGGTTTTCTTACGCAACCAGGACGGATTTGCCAGATGCTTTTTACCCACAATTTAGCACCATTTTTGTCCATCCAGAATCACATTATTGCTCTTTCAATTCTAGCCCTCACATACATGTCAAATTCAGTTTCATTTATTTTTTCAAAAGATAGGGAAAAATACTTTTTATTTACGATCTTGAAAGATGGTACAATCCAAATTTTCGTGCGCGTTATACGAAGAGTATATCTTAAAATTTAAAAAAAGTAATTAGAAATTACGGGTGCGCATTATACGCTGGGGCGCATTATGCGCCAGAATATACGGTATACATGTTACTTATTTGAAGTAAGAGAAGCGTTAACTTCAAAATAAATAAATTTTAAAAAATCGGATCAAATAATTTTTTAAATTTAATATGTAATATTTTTTTATTCTAATATTATGAGAAATATTCTCGCCTTTTGTAATTAATCATCACATTAATTAAAATTTTAAGAAATCGCGAAATCTGTAGCAGTAAGTACCGTGAAAAAAAGATCGATGACGAAATCCTGCGAATCGGACTCTTCAAAAAGGGGATACTAAATGCGTTTTCATTTCGAGATTCAGTTGCTTTAATAAATAAGATCGTTTTAAAAATATCGGATTTTAATAGCTATGTGGAAATCAGTAGTAATAACTGCATGAAAAAACAGAACAAAAATTTTTACAGAAAAGAAAACCAATTTTTTACTTTATTATTCTTTATTTTTCATTGTTCTCAAATGAAAATAAAAAAATCGCAAGAATTTTTTCCACTCTGATGAGCGAGAAAGGCGTCTTCTGAATATAATTCTGAAGAAAATATAAAATCTTTCAAAAATTTCTGCCGAAAAGAAAAGCAAAATGTTTTACTTCCCAAAGAAAAAATATTGCTGCAAGAACTTGGTAAAGTTCTGCAACAATGTCACCGTGTCGCCACGGGGCTTTTCACTACATTGCTGCCTATTGAAGAGATTAAAAAATCACAAGGATTAATAATGAAGATATAAATTTTTTTCATTAGCTTTAAAATATTATTGAAAATTATGCATTTTAACACAATGAACCATCCATTTATATTAATGAAAGACTAATTTTTGAAATAATATTATGATGTGCATAGATAGTTAATTTTTGCAAGGCAGAAATTGTTTTTTATTAACACATATGGTGAAGTAGGATTTATGATCGAACACACTAGTTTGTATTAAAATGCTACAGACACCTATATTTTTACACCAAATGATGATACAAATTTTGTAATAAATCAACAATTAACCCAAAACAATTAAATTAAGACAATTTTTAACATAAAGTATTGATTCTTTATACACCACTTTATCAAATGACAATATTTCATTGAATTTTTTAGATATATTGATAATGTAGATGTAAAGTAGAATAAAAGATTTCTTATGAAACATTTAATTAGCTTTATTTGTACAGCTTATTTTAGAAACGTGAGCTGTGGTGCTGAATGACAGGTAAGCATACAGTCACAACTTTTTAATTCTCCAACTGCAGATTGAAAACTACCATATTAATTTTCACATCATAAATAAAATATAATGTTCATAAACTGAAAAATTGAGGAATAGAAAAACTTACTACTGTCCACTCTCTTTAATACAGTCCCCCATTAGTGCGATCCTTCAGACTGGATTTTCAATTTTAATAATAACATATAATTTTCAACGATATTAATATTATTACAACCTGGTATACTTTACACAATAGGTTTTGTTGGCATTGGCAGTGTTAGAGAAGGCAATAAAGTTTGTAGTCTGTAGTAGTAGATTTTAGCTAGACATTTTTTTTAAACAGTTGAGTTTTAGTTTGGCTCTTTTAGTGCCACTGCCTGGTACACATTTGGCCAGTATACCAATAGTTTGGCGACAAGCATCCTTATGGCAGTGGTGACATTTTCTAAAATCGCACCAAACTTGTAGCGTACACTAGAATTTTACTGATATTATTCGACAAAATATATTTTTTTTATTGTTAATTACATAACACCGACAATTTCAAAACAAATTACAAGACATTTATCATTAAGAAAAAATTGTTTTGCATAAAAAATAGGATTTTGCAGTATTTTATGAGCTAGAGAAAAAATCTCCCAGACTAACAAATTGTATTTTTTATACATACTAAATTTCAACACTAATTTGATAAATTTCATTCTCTAATGAAATGTTTTAAAATACAGTTTCAGTAAAAACTTCACAATCATAAGCATATTTCCCCCAATAAAACAACAAAATAGAATTGATCTATAGCTGTTTTAAAAGAACTATACGTTTACACAAAACAACTGTATTAAGGTATTTTTAAAAGGAAAGGAAATTTATATTCGTTATACTTTTCTGGAACTACAAAAGTTTCACTAGTTGTATTTGGAGTAACACTTTTGTGTTTAGCTTTTTTCTTCTTCGAATGCTTGATTTTCTTGCTTGCTCTAACATGTTCAGTATCACAATCAACAGTTTTCCTACAAAAAGTCATAAAAAAATACAAAATTTAGTTTAAAATGAAAAATTAAAAAAAACTTTATAACTTTAAAAATAAAAACTAATTATGCTACAAAATCCGGTGAAAAATCTTTAAAAAAAATTACAACAACATAATATGCTCAAGTGATTTGTATGAATGATATTGATTTAGAAATAAAACTATAAAAATTAAATCTTCTTTAACTTATTAATAGATCAGATAATAAAAGATTAATTTTCTTTTTTATTAAAAATATGTAGTGTAAATTAAATAGTTTCTTTCTCAGAGCTTTTTCTAGATTTTTTCCTTCATTTTTTAAATTAAAAATTTAAATAATTGGAAAGCAAATGTTCTATCCCCTAAGCCATCACAACTCTCACTGTATTATTTATAACTTTAAAAAAAATTATCATGTTCTCTCATTCTGGCTTTAGAAACTCTGATAATGGAAAATTTTCTGCCCTGTATGCTTTAATTTGTTAGTATAGCAACCATGGTTGGCAAGTTTTTGACACATGACAGTTTTTACCGGTTTATACCATGGTTTTTACCGTCATGTCATAAACCCCTCTGTAAAAAACGTCAAAAACCCATAGTTTTGGTAAAACTATTTTTATTTGAGTTTAACTGCTTATAATTTAAAATTAATTCATTTTTGGGCAATAAAATNTTCTCGCCATTTAAAAAAAAAAAATTTTTTCCTCGTAAGATTTTACGATTTTTCTTTCTTTTTTTAAAGATGTTTACCTTACTATCATTCTGGAAATAATCATTAGTGTATTACTTCATCGTTTTTTCCTACTTTTAAGATTATTTCCAAGTTTTTTTTTTTTTAGTTGGGTTTAAGAATAAAAAAAACGGCTTTTTGTAGCGATTCAGAAAACCGGAAAAATCAGTTATCCGGAATAGCGATGGTCCCGATCGTTCCGGATAATCGGTTCCCTACTGTATCCCTATTTTCAATAAGTTTATTACAATATTTCTATATGAATGTATATCCTTCAATAAGAATACGTGTATATAGTTGCAAAATCAATAGCAATCATTTACAACATTCATAAATTATCATTATTATTCATTTGAAAATAATATATTGTGCTATATGCCATAAATTAAAGAAATCAGTAGGTTTTTGACACTTTTTACCGGTAAAAACACTGTTTTTACCACTGTCAAGTCAAAAACCAGTTCTTGACGGCAAAAACCTAACCCTGATAGCAACAAGGGTACACTTGCTTTGCACATTCAATCCATCTTTGTTTTTTGTTTTTTTTTCAAGTGTAACAGCAAAACAGTTTAATTTTTCAATGATCTTTCTGTAGAAAATAATTTAAACATTTAAGTTTGTAGAAGGAACGAGGATGGATGGACAAACGATTTTTCAAATTCCAACATATTAAAGTTTTTTAGACATGTAGGTTTGATAATAACAGAACAGACATAGTAAGTCTTAAAATATCTAACAATTTAAATACCTAAAAATTTTTTAAAATTAGTTTGATGTTTCATTATTTTGAATCCGAATTTTGGTAATTAATTTAAGTCATTCAACTTTATGTAAAGTAATCTAATTTTTTTATATAAAATTAAAGTGATAAAAATTTCCCAATCTTGAATTCGGATACAAAATAAATCTTTCATACATTATAAATTTTTTTACAACATGAATTATAAACCACAAATTTGAAATAGCAGTCATGCTCACAAGCTCCCTCTATAATTCTAAAACTAGAAGAACACTATTTGCAACAAAAACTTGATAGACACAAAATTCTGGGCTCCAACCGACCATCCACCAGCTTAAAACAATTTCTCTAGAATATGTATTTTAAGAAACAATAACAATCTAACATTTGAATAATAAAGCAAATAATAATTTCTAAAGTAAGTAGCATCCATTGAAATAATTCTATAGAAAAATTCAATCAATGTGATTCAATTCGGAAAATTACTACAACCTAAATAAAATTTTAAAAAATATTTTCTATATCAACATTGCCATTGATTAAATGTCTTTTATTTTTAAATTAATGTATTAAATATACTATTTCATATAAGAATTTATACTTACTCTAGTTTGCTGTATACTATTTCATTATTCGAGGGAGCATAACTACTGTTGTTTAGCCACTCGGGATCAGCATTCTTATTGTCTTTAAAGCAAATAAAATGCATAAATTACTTTAGTAACATTGGAATTCACATCAAAAGTAAATTTACACTGAACACATAGTAATTCCAGTCTAACAATTAATATAGATATTTAAATGATAAGATTTTAAAGGGATTTGCAGAATACAAATTACCAAAATAAAATAAGCATAGGAATCCGATTGGCGCTATATTTAGAGTTTAGAATTTTTTTCACTTTTTTCACTAGAGCTGCACAATGGGCTATTGGCGACAGTCTGGGAAATATCCCTGAGGACGATTTGAAAATATGCTAGCACAATTTTGATACTCTGCAGAGGGGATGACTCCCCTGCCCTGATAGCCCGACGACCTGCATGCTAAGTCGAGCGCTTTACGGTAACAGTTTAACGAGGACCGATACAGAGAACCCTTGGTCCCTACGCAGGCTGATCAATGACCAAGTGGTCCTCCACCCCATTACTTATTGCAGTCTTTGAGGCTTGACTGCGGTGTTCTACTTGGAACCCTAACTTTACAATCAGTCCACTAAGGGAAGCTATGATGTGCCTACTTGATTAGAATGGAGCAATAGTTACACGTGTATAAGTAGAAGCTAGAAATATGCACACAAATCAGTTTAATGCAATTTTAACCAAAAAGTAGGGCAAAAATAAAAAGTTGAATAAGAATCAAACTGCTTCTATAAACAAACAAATTGAGTCACATTTTTAATTTAATTATGCTCATTAATTTATGCCTATCATGGTTTTGTCTGTATAGTTTGTCTAAAATAAGAACTCCCCCAGACATCCCCTGAACCTGTGGCGGTTACTATGGTAACGAGGTATGAATATTTCAAGCAGGGGTGCGGGGTCACTGTTTTTGTGGTTTTGGCTCGGGTTAGCCCTAAAGTGAAGCTACCCTCCCTAAAATGCATCATCCATTCTTGTTTCCATAGCAACAGACAGCCTCAGACTTTGTTGCGGGAGGATTTCTTAGCTTAGACAAACTACATTCCCAACTGTGACTCACTTGACTGATGACATACAGCAAATCCAAGAAACATGATTTATTAGTTTCACATGAATAGTGGGTAAGCATCCTTTGTGATAATTAGCACAACATCCAAGTAGTAACAAAATAAATCAGGGATGAGTTCGGTAAAAAGCCGAAAATAGAAATCCAAAAATGTGTGCAAAACAAATTATACATAGAAAAAATTCCCAAAATTTGAGCAAGAAGTGTCTGTAAGAAGCATATACAGGAGTTCTGTCCAAGACAAATTTAATACTGTTTAGCGGTACCTTCACAAATTCAACTTTAGGAAAAACGGTAGTTTCACAGAATACTTTTTCTTAAAATTTTATTTTTGTATCCCGTAAGAAACGATAAATCCATATTTTTGTGTTGATTTTTTAAAATAATTTTTAATTTTCACAAATTATGCCCAAATTTTCACAAAATAGGTACCTTTCAGAAAAATCTGGACAGATCCATGATATATCTGTAGAACAAACATTATCAATGTTTTAATAAAAAAAATAGTAAAAATATCGAATATATATGCTGAATAAAATTTTAAATGTTTTTTTCTTTTTTTAATTATGGGTGAATTTTGATCTCGATGATACGAATTCCAATGGGAGATTTTTTTTTAAATCGCTTAAATACAAACCAAGATGTGTAATTTCAAATCGTGTGGATACGACTCGTGATGCATAATTTTAAATCGTGTGAATACGAAACAAGATATGTAATTTTAAATATGAATCAGGATGTGTAATCGAATGAATATTTTATCGCGATATGATTTTTGAATCCAGTAAATGCAATTTTGAATTGCTTTTACATAGGTATGAAAAAGCATAAAAACAAATTATTTTTTTATTAAATTTTTTTCAAAAAGAGCAGAATTCCTCCAAAAAGCTGATAAAACCCATCCTTGTAAATCAAATTACTTCTTGATAAATTTTGAAATGATTAACAATATTTTTCTGTTTTCAATAAAGATATGAAAGAGAGAAAACAAAAATTTTGCTGGGTTCGATTAATCAGCACCAAGCAAAAACAAATTTTTTTTTACATGGGTGATACTGGATACCCAACACACTGGATGGGTATGTACAGACTTCATGCGAAACAATATATAAACCATATACTATATATTTTCTATTGAATAAATATTTCACAATGTAGTTTTAAGTAAACTTATTACTTACACATATAAATAAAAGCATACACATTATTTTCATTTTTTCTACATGTTTTAAAAAAGTTTATAAAAGAAATCCAGATAAATTAATATATAATTACTGACGTAAGACTTAGCTGAGGTATGGATAAGCTAAATGTGAGCTTATAAAATCATTAATTTTTCATTTGATTTACTTAAAACTTTAGTAACATTTAAAAGCGGGATATTTTAAAAGTATTTTTAAATAACATGATGACATATTGAAAGAAAATAATTTTCCAAATTTTAATGAACTTTAAAAAAAAATAATAATTGCCTAGAGTGTTAGATTGGCAGTAAAGGAACTCAACTGGATAGAAATTGCGGCTGTTGGACTAGTCAGTATGAAACAAGCTTTTTAGAGAAAAGGCAATTTAAAGTTAAAGATAGTTGATTTCACTTATTTATGCATCACTTCAATGGGTCAATATAAGCAAGAATAATAAAATGTCCTACATAAAAAATTATTATTTTTTATTTTTACTATTTTGCAGGCGTGTACTTGCCTGAATGTTTTTATTTCGTATTTTTAATTTCATTAATAATCTATCAAAAGTGTGTATTACACAATAATTATTTTCCTCAATTTTGAAGCTTTAAATTTGTAAAGAAGTTTTTCATATACATATATATTTTTTACTTCTTATGTACTGTTAATCGCACAAGTTTTTTTCCCTGTATTTTGAAATTCACATTGTGTAAAATTTAGACTGAATGTTTGCTTACTTTTAATTATCACTTTTTTTTATGAACAAAAATAAAAATTTAGAATTAGTATGATTTTGTTTAAAATTTACGTTCAAATAAAATTTATGTTTCAATATAAGCAAAATTATTTTTAAGAATGTTACAAAATTCAAACAACAAATTCAAACTTAAACCATTTTTACATTAAATCAAATCAAACAATAAATACAATATGCAAATGCATACCATCATTTTGCCCTTGCAAATAATAAGCTGGAAACAGAGAAGTTGAGGGGTTGGGTGCAGTTGTGGTGGTAATGGGGAATAATGGAAGAACTGATATCTCATTAGGATCCATTTCAGCAATCTAAAAAAATAATAATTATATATAAAAGGAATTAAATAATTGAGAAAAATTCCTCAATAGTAACATTAATTTAAAACAGTCTTAAACTAAATTCATGCAATTATATTTTAAGTAGGTAGGCCCAGAAGCAGAAAGTGCCTAAAACTGTGACGTACGTCGCAGAACAAACGAAATCCTGCAGAACAATTTGTATCTTGAATAGAATTCTCTTTAGCTTTGACCACTTGCTGTTTTCCTGGAGTGATGTTGCTTTAAAAGAGGAACATTTGACACCCTGCACAAATTTCAGCACATTTATCAGTATTCTCCCTCTCCCGTATCTTTGCCATTCTGAGGAGGAAATTAAAGAATAAGCTTTTGGCTATAACATTTTTATAAAATGGGTGTATCAGTGTTTAGCAGACAGCAGGAGAAATCGATCACCTATTTTATCAAGAAAGCTTCTAAATCAAGCCGTTAAAGAATTAAATTCCGAGATTTCCAATTTCATAAAGTTTATGACTTTTATATTTTCCATTCCCATTTCAAAAGCAATTTGAGAATCGTGGGGATCCACGATTGACAGAATTGTTTCTGAAAGACCAAATGCTTTCGATGGAGATGAAGAAGTTGTTGGAACAACAGCCAGCGAATGTTTGTGTTTGCAAATGGTGCACCATTTGGGCACTTGTCCCTTCGAAAGATTTTTAAGGCAGCCCTTATTTTAATGTTCGGATCTTCATATCACAGGTATTTTATTTATAATTTATCATCATCATCGTCGTCATTAACAAAAGTTGTACTTCAAAAGTGATTGAAAAAGTAACAAATCAAGAATGTTTGCCTTGGTTTAAAAAATAATGCAGTGTATCTGTGTATAATCCTGTATTTTAATAAGTGAAAATATAGTATTTTAACGTAAAGTTGACTTTTTTTCGCAATGAAATGCATGCAGAACATTTGTATAAATTAATAAGTCCTGTTGCAGAACATTTGAAAATATTCTGCTTATGGGTAGGTAGGTACTTTATTTAAGTCGCACTAGAGCTGCACAATGAGCTATTGGCGACGGTCTGGGAAACATCCCTGAGGACGAACCGAAAACATGCCACCTCAATTTTTATCCTCTGCAGAGGGGATGTCTCCCCTACTTCGGTAGCCCAAAGACCTGCAAGCACTTTAGGGTCTAACAGTTTAACGAGGACCAATACCGTGCACCCTCTTTCCCTACACAGGCTGATCAAAGTGGTCAACCATAAGCTTACTGATCGCAGTCAGTGATGCTTGACTTCAGAATTATATTTTAAAATGTATACGATTGGTAAAATAAAAAAGTATATTTTCTTTTGCTATTTTTCAATAGCAGGCTACAGGAACTAAAAAAATGCCATATTCAGGGCCAACATGAATAAGGTGATTTAACTGTAATTTTAAACACATAAAGCTTTTAGATCCTAATTTAAAGTAACATGCATCTTTGTAAAAATTGCGAGAAATTACTATTCTCTGCAAGCACTGAACCCTGTGGCTAAATCATAGCGACATTGTCGTAGAACGTTACAGACTTCTTGCAGATAAATTTTTCTTTTGAGACGCAAAATAAGCAGCCTTTCTTACTTACTATTAGAGAAGGTAGAAATGCATGTCATTTTTTTTTTATTTATTAATTTCTTCTGAGAATAAAAAAATCTGTAATGAGTTAGTTGGAACTTGATATTCTAAAAAGTAATTCCAAAATCATAAAAATTTAAACAATAGTTCACTTCAGAAATGCTTTTTAGAACATTTTATTTTATACTTTAGTAAAGTAAGAGTGTGTGTGGGGGTTTAATTAAAAATTCAGATTTGTGACAAAAGAATCAATAAATCATTGCGGCATATTTCTCCCTTTTTAATATTTGGTAGAAATAAATCTATTCAATATTCCAAGTAAATCTGTATCAAGCAAAAAACATTTTTTTTAAAAATTTAACTTTCTAATAGAATGGTATTTCTTCCAAAGCAGAAAAAAAAAACATTTTTAATGCAAATGCTTTAAATTAAGAATACATCATATATTTTTATTAATATTTAAAACTGTTCTAGGGTCAAAACGCATGGTTCAGAGGTCAGTTTTGGGTCATGAACTGTAGATTGTGTACCACTGGTTTTAACTATAAAAATAATAGAAAATTTCTTTAACTAATAGTTGACAAACTGTTTTTTAGGATATTTTAAAGGGTACTTCATTGATATAACATACTATTTATATGTGCTCTTGTCACAATGATTTAATCACTAACCATATTTTATATAAAAATCAATTACTGTGTCAATCAAAAATCAATTTATAATACCGCAAATTCAGATATAATAATCAGGTATATTTATTAAAACCAGAAAAACAGCAGCGTTTAGCGATAAAGTTCTTTTTTTAAAGTTCAAACGGTGACAAATTTGATAACCTAAAAACTAGCGCTATTAGGTCTTTCAGTAAAATATAAGATTAGATTCATAATTACGATTTATAGACAGGGGATTTTTATCGGTACGTTTTCATCCAGCATTATATTTTTTTACACAGCACAGACTCACAAAACACATAAGTACTGATTGTTGTGTAGAAAGTTGATTGTAAAAAAGTACGACGAGCTCTCTGAGTTAGCTTATAGCTCTGTTTTTTTATTAATGGGGCTAATGGCTGAGGCTAGGTAGCTAGCTGCTACTTCACGATACGAAGCCTTCCCTTTTGATGTAAATGCGAGAAACAAAGCCCCTCCACAAAAATGAGTAAATATTTCTTACCTCAACAATATTTTTGTAATGGCTATTTTTTTCATTTTAATTCATCGGACGACATCGTACAACAACTCTAATCTGAAGGATATTTCTGAAAACTGGATTTCAATGAAAACCAATTTTTACTGGGAAGGAATTAAAATATATTTGCTTACCGACATATTACTTTTAGAAGCAAACCAAACTTTACATCTCAAATGAAAACACGATAATTAATAACAAAAGAAAAGGATATACACTGTGTTTACTTGTCTCGCATTTATCAATTATTTGTTAGATGATCAATTATTTGTTGAGAAGATGAAATCAGTAGAATCGAATCGGTTGAATAAAACTTCGTTTTTAAATATCAATTTAATACTTGTTTGAATAGTATATTACATCCGCATCCGATCTTAAAGTTCATTCAGTTCAAGGATTTAAACTCCAAATCAGTTGCCATGGGAACAAAATTAAGATTATTTATAAACTTATTACATGATTAAATTTGAATGAAAATGAAAAGTGAATAAATTTTTTAGTGCTTTAAAATAAACTAAATTACAGTGAAGAGACCTAAAAAAGGGAAAAATTCATAACATTGACATTCACTTTATTGGGAAAAATATTGGCAACGAAAATTTGTATTCTTTTCTGTCATAACCGCTGAAATTCAAAAGTTGTTTCTTCCTCTGCTGTTTCGTTGCAATAGTAAGTTACAATAACAGTATCTTTTTGAAAGTTTTATGGTAAAATATTTTGTGAAAAGTTTGTTGACAAAATAAAATGCAAATAATTATGAGTAAAACTCTTATGCATCTGGAATCTTTCATGAGCAGTTTCAATTTTGCTATAGTTGGTGTTTGAAATTTCGTTGTTGTCATAAATCTTAAATATATTTTCGAAAATATCAGGTAAAAATTATAGTTAACTTATAATTTTTGGATTAGGTTTGTGAAAATAAAACCAGTATTGATACATATCAGGGACATTGATACAATAATGGATTTATTCCTGTAAGAAATTCTCTGGCCTTCTCTTTCTGTACATTGCTGAGAAGCTGCCCTTTATATTTTGGGTGTAATAAATAAGCAAGAAGGTGCCAAGGTAAAATTGATTGCACAAATCTTTTTTTTACTTGTATTTTATAAGGCTGTAAATTGTCGTCATCTATCAATTTACACCATATATGGCAAACATCTGCTATTGTTGTTGAATTGGTCTGTAGAATGTTCAAGGCATTTGAAATTGCTTTTAGTTGTTTTATAAGATCTTTTACTTGTCGCAGAAGATTGAAATCACATATGCGAGCAACAATGTTTTGATCCATCTCTATCAGATGATCATTTGTGACTTCTATGTAAGAGTTATGATTACGCACATACGTTTGCAGGCATGCTAACTGGCTATTCCACCTGGTGCTTCCATGTAACTGAGGTAGAATACTATCACTGCATTCTTTTAGCCAGGCTGACAGAGCATGGTGATTGCGAAAATATTTGCTAATATCCACAACACAGGGTTCGCCAAGTGGGCCCACTTTGAAAAAACCCGCCCGGGTTTTATTGGGTGGGCCCACCTTGAAAAAACCCTCTTGGAACGATAAGTGGATTTTTTCAACAAAACATTTTTTTCTATTAAAACTTATTGATGCACATTTAATTTTATATAATTTATTGTGCAGCATAAATTTGTCAAATAGAGTTGCGTGATTTATATGATTAAGTTTTTAATATTTGTAAAGTAAAGGAAACTTGAATCTATAATTTTATAGTACTATTGAAAAGTTTATGTGTGTTTTTTCAAAAAGTAATATTTTAATGAAATTAAATCAAATAGAAATTTAAATAATGTAGTCTGAAAAGATCCACTTTTTCAAATATAGTTGCAAATATTGATTCCCATGTTCAAAAAAATTGAAAAAAAATTTTTTTTTAGACTAAGTGATATGTTAACAAATTTAAACAGTTTTATTTTTCTGGCTTTAAAAAAATAAGCTACAAGTTTTTATAAGAGAACTTTTTAAAATTATTTATCTAAAGATGAAATTATTTTCCTATGGTTAATTATTGGAAAAAAATGGGACAAGTAACTGATATTCTTTATAATTATACGTAATTTTAATTCACTTTCTTCTATATCTTAATCTTATTATAAAAACATGAAAGACCACTAAATATTTATCTCAGTTATTTATTTAATATTTGTTATTTTTATTAGATGTATATTTATTATAGTTATATTAATTTACTAAATATTTGTATCACTTATTGATACATATATCATCATGAAAATTGTTTAGAGTTTTCATTTTAAATTTTTGGTTACAAAATTAATACGCTATTTGTGAATACTATATTTGATCTTTAACTCAGTACATTACAGTTTAATTGCAATATTTTTAAGATTCTTTTCTTAAGAAATTAATTACATTTAGTTTTCTTTTAAATTTTTACTTTTTTATTTTCACTTATAATTGATTTATTAAAATATTTATTAAATAGCTTGGATATTAAAACTTGATTGTAATTTGAAACTGAATGAACTTTTTCTTCGGTTCCTTTTTTAAAAAGAATTTCTTCTTGAGTTGGAAGAAATTTATTACTTTTTTCAGGGGTCTGTTTAGAAGAAATTTGGGTCCGTTAGCGGACCCTTCACAAAATATCTTTTCATAAAAACGGACCCTTCACAAAATAGTTAACTTTAAAACGGACCCTTCACAAAATGATTTTTCTTTTAATCGGATCCTTCACAAATTTGTTTATCTTCATTATTGTTTTGTTAATTGAATAAACCCTTCCCAGGGCAGAAAACAAGAAAGATGGATGTAAACGAATTAAGTTTTGTCTTCGGCAGACGATTCTTCCATTATTCGTCCGAAACGAATATTCAACCTTCAGCAGTATAGGCTAAATACCGAATATTTGTATGTTGCATCTCTAATTTAGAAGCAGCAATTGCTGTTTATTTTTGAAAGTTTAAATTTTTTTTATTATAATTTTACAGTGCTGAGCATAATCTTGTATCTATTTACAATTTAAAAACTCCTTGAAGAAGTTTTTTTGCAATAACCGGACCCTATCTGCACAAATTCATAAAAGCGAACCCTGGTTGAAAGAATGTGAGTAATTTTTTCACAATTTCACGAAAAACGGACCTTTCACAAAATGTCTGGACAGACCCCTGTCTTTGACAAATTTCTTTATAATTCTTTCCACTTTGGATTAAATTTGCTATCCTTGATCAGGGTTTTGAAAACCTAACCCGCCCGGATTTTATTGAAAAAAAACCTGGGGAAAACTGGGTATTTTATTAAGTTAAAAATTTTACTGTGAAAATATTTTTATTTATTAAATAGTGTTGTATAAGCTTAAAAATAGAAATAAATCCAAAAAGTTTATATGAAATATGTATTATAAAATTAAAATAAGTTTAAATAATGCACTATGACTAATGAATCTTTTTTGTTAAAAACATAATCTTAATGAATCTTTATTGTTTGAATTTATAAATATTTATAATCAGTAAAAACTAAAATTTCATCTGACTTTTACCTTTAATAATTAAACTGGAATAAATATTTAATGGTCTTCCATGTTTTTCTAATATGATTAATAGAAAGTGAAATTAAAATTACGTATAATTATATAGAGTATCAGTTACTTGTCCCATTTTTCAGATATTTAACCTTAGAAAAGGACTTCATTTTTAGATATATTTTGAGTTTATAATTTCAAAAAACAAATTAATCTTAAAATTATAAAATAGCATAGATAAAAAGTTTTAGCTTATTTTTTTAAAACCAGGAAATAAAACTTTAAATTTGTTGTTGTTTAATGTATCACTTAATAGAATTTTTGTTGTTGTTTGTTTTCAATTTTTTTAAACATGATTAAAAGAAACAAAATAAATCATATTCAAATGAAATCTTAAAAATAATATTTAAAAAATCTTAAAAATAGTATTTTAATTTTTAACTGTTTTTAATGGTCTTAAACTTTCTCCTAAATTGTCAGCAGATGTTAAGAGTTAACTTTAAAAAAAGGTCCATTTTTTTTATTTATTATTATCATACATCAGATTCAAAGTGTCTACATTTCTCTCTTAGATGGCGATACACTTTTACAAGTTACGTAGCTTTATCTGTTCCTAATCTATTTTGTAGTTTACTCCATGCCAAACTGAAAGTTGAAAAGTGTCTTTCGATAGAGGCAGAGGATGCTGGTGCTGAGTGTAAAGAAAAAAAAATTGGCATAAATTTTGTGGAAACTTGGAATTTTTTTTCTTGCCATAATTTTCTACTACGTTTTGATGAAAACTGTTAAATAGCAGTGTCAAGCATCATTAATTTTGGAAAGTATTCAGGATCGGAAATTTTGAATGCCATAACACCTGGCAGAAATCCTGGATAATGATTAGAAAGACAGTTTTCTGCTAATTGCTCTTGTTCATCATTTAAAAATTGTCCCCTTGTTTCGGGATCCAGGATGCATATGCTAATAATTGAGGTGGCTGAACAGCCCAATGGAATCTTTTTACAAAATGTTTATGGGGTTCTAATTCATCACACAATAGTAAGCTAATTCATATTTCAACAGCTTCTGAAATTGAAATGTTTTCTGATTCAAGCTTTTTTAAAGCTTCAGAAACAATTGATATCTGTTTTTCCAAATTGATAGTTTATTAATAAAGCCCAACATTATTTAATATTTTTAACATATTATTAAATTTATTTTGATGTTCAAGAGCAATCTCTTGATATTTATAGTAATTACTGGCAAAAGTTTTTACGCGGTCACAATATGAACTCCACCTAGTATCATTTGGTAACTAGGGCATCCAGCAGTTTTTTTCATTTGCCCATCCATGTGCTTGATGCAAATTTCTAAAATATTTTTTAACTTCCACGATGTATAGTATTAGGAGATACTTCTTTTTCAACCAAATTTTTAAAAACCAATTTGTGAAAAAACCCACAAAGTGGTTTTTTTTTTTTCATAAATCCCACCAAGTGGGCCCACCCAATAAAACCCGGGCGTGTTTTTTCAAAGTGGGCCCACTTGGCGAACCCTGTCCTTGATTGCAATGATTAGTCATGGTAATTGATGACAGTAATGTGATCATACCTCATCATAATTAGTAATTATATAATGTTATAATGATCATGATCTAAAGTTAATCAAGCCTCAAATCTTACGTTTTTAAGAGGTAAATTTTTTTTATATTTAATGACAAATACTTACTAATTTTCTTTTGGTACATTGAAATGCTAATTTTGCATTTCTAAAATCCTCTGCATTTTAAATGTTATATAAACTAAACACAGTGGCGCGATAGCTCATGGAGGGCCAAGGCCTACTGTACCCATCTCAGTTTTCTTGTCCTTAGGCTCTGGGGTGCAAGAGCAGATGTTCCGGTTAGGTGGTCAGCCGAACGCTGAACCCCCAGTGTTTAGTTTTCAAGTATGCTTGGTACTCATTTATCGACCCACCAAAGGGATGATAGGCTGAGTCAACCTTGCCCGGTCCGAGGATTAAATGTTATATAGTTATTGCAAAAGTTTTATTTCTTTTCACTATTGACTTTTTAAAGTTGAAAGCAGAATGAAAAAGTCTTTTCAGCAGTAGAAAAAAAATTTTTCACTGAATAATTTTAAAAAATTTGTTTGCTTTGTAATTTACCATCAAGTTTTGACAGCCATTCTTCAAAAATTCTCTTTATCATCCATGCCTTTTTGTAATTTGAGGACAAATAAAATATTTCAAATTATCACAAGTTTGAGTTATAGATAATCGAGAAATAGAAGTTTGTACTCGATTGAAATTCTGTAAAAATAGTTTTTTGTTTAAATAGATGTAAAGAAAAAAACTCAACTTTTTAGTGCTAGATTAATTTGTTGAAATTTAAGCTATTCCTATTCAGGGGTGTAATAGCTGACAGATTCTGTGTATGAAATTGCATCATTGTTTTTACTGGATGCAAATCCTTTGATCAGTTATAATTATAACTCTTGTTTAGAAATTCTTAGTTCAGTATATCAGTATTGAATAATTATGAATTTGAGTTAAAGAACAAAGTTTTTTCATTGCTTGTTATCCATTTGTATACCTAAATGTATGGTTTTAATGAAATGGATTTATATTTAATGAAATGGATTTTAAAAAATTTTGGAAATTAAAAGTAATAATTGTTAATTGAATCCTCGCCTTTAAAAGAAAAGTAAATGATCAAATGCACAATTCGAATTTCCCATATCACCTGAAATATATCGGGATATCTAAAAGCCACATAAAAATCAATTTCAATAACTGCCGCAAATGCAAAATTGATTTTTGATATCTACTTAAATGTGAAATTCAAATTTTGCATGTAAATTACTACTGAAAAGCAAACCAAAATTGTTTACTTTCCAAAACGAAAGTCTTTCTGCGTGAATGTCGCCATGTCGTCGCGATTCTGTCATGGGTCTCCTGATTGTTTTAGGCAAAATCTCCCAATAGCAGTATTAACCATATAATTGAATAAACAAGCTTATTTAGAAAATGATGTAATTTTTAAATTTCTACATACAAAACTAACTTTGTGCTGAATTATGCAGAGAAAAACATGAAGAAGAAAAAGCGTTCGCAATTACCCAAAGGGCAGAAGGTGATTCATCGCCATTTTAAAAGGAGAAGGAAAACTACTTTGTCTAAAATCCTCCAAGCAGGTAGTTATCTTTTGTTTGATTTACTGTAATGATATTTATAACTGTAAGATTAGATTAGATTTTATCTACTATTTGTATGCAATTTTTCTAAATTCTGCCAAATGAAAAAAAATATATTAAATTTACTCTCATTTATTTTTAATGAGTTTAATTGCCAATGGGAATTCGCATACTCAGTGCCGTTCCTGAGGTGGCGAACGCCTGCGTGCAAGAATAATTTTCTGCGCCCCTATATACTATGCTTAAATTCTGATGATAAGGCCAATTTTCATAATCATTTTTAGTTTGAGGTTTAAACTGAATAGTTTCCTTATAGACTAAAGTCACTTTAGTGTAAGTGTTTGATTATGAAAATGGGCGTAATAAAATAAAACAACGAAAAAATATGACAAAAAATTTATTTTCGACATCAAATAAAATAGACTACTAACATACAATATAGGTCATAAATTCCAGTGTAGAAGCAAAGTGTAGAAGTTACTTCTTATATTAGTTTACTGTTTCTTCCTGTTATCAAAGTTTACAGCTTTGCTATAATTTAATTTTTAATAATTTGCTATAATTTGATTTTTTTCGAATAGTTGAATTGGGCGCCTACGTGCGGGGCATTCGCTGCATACCCGCCAGGAACGGCACTGCGCATACTTCCGGTGGACTTAAATCGGCAATTTTTAAAAGATTACATGGAGTTAATTTCAATAGAAAAAAATATATGTGAGCACATTTTAGATAAAATCATAAGTTCTTTTAAAAATGCTTAAAATAAAGTAGGACATCACTAATTTCATGTTCTGTTAGTTTTTAAAATTTGTTAAATCATGTAATTGTTGCAAGAATTAACCTTTTTCCTACTTTATTTTTATATTCTTGTTAAAAATGCATAATGCTTGCTGCAGTCATAAGGTGCTTTTCTAAATTTTTTTTTCAGTTTAATATTAGAATTATTTTCTGTTAAGTGGCAAACAAACTTGTATTTATACAGTATGCTTATAATCATTATTATAATATTTCAAATCACAATTTTCATACTATATTTTTTTTAAAAAAAAAAAGAAATTGTTAAAGAAAAAATATTTAAGATTAATATAAAATATATTTGTTATTGCAATATCTCAATTAGTGCACTGTTATAGTTTGAACTCCACTATTTAAAAATAAATGACAAGAAAGTAATTCTTTGTTTTTCTAATCTTTAGAACTGAAACATACCTATGCTATGAGTTAGTGTTTATGCAGGCTGCTTATCAATTTTACACCTTTTTATTATTTTAAATATTTCATGGTCCTTTATTTTAAAAATTGTGTTGATTCAATAAATAAATGAAATGATCAATGCTTCTAATTGCATACTGCTAAATAATGACATTAATGTAAATAATGCTAAAAATTTAATTTTTATATATACAGACTATCTAAGGGGGAAATTGTTTTTTACAGTCATTGAAATAACATTTAGATGTTAATAAAAGTGAATGTGTTTGAATTCTTTTTTCAAGGTATTAATCTATCAATAATTAAAAAAGATGTCTGTGTACTGCATTTTAATGGTTTGGTGACTTTTAATTTGGAGCTGAAAATATTAGGTGTCCCTTGAAGAAGTGCTGTGTTGCATTCATTGTTCTTTTGTATTATTATTATCTAATTTTATTATAAATGTATTTGCTGCTTTAATGCATTCCCAAATTGTACTTTTATATATTGCTTTTATGCTACATTTTCAAACAGATTTTTATTTAAGAATTTGATCGGACTAATGTAATACTGTCTTATTAAAGCATACTGTGGTTTGTTTTTTCTTATGTTTAGGTTCAAACAGCCGTCGCACGAAGGAATTGTTGCAGAATAATAGAGCATTGACAGCTGAACTTGTAGAATGTAGGACCATAATAGCTAACAACACTAGAATGATCCAAAGTTATAATGTAGCCAGTACTCAAGTTTGTGTAAGTTACATGCTTAAATTTTTTTTTTTTAAAGAGTTCTTGGTTTTTTCTTAGATAAATTATTTAAAGATATTCTTGACATTTGTAAGAAGAATTGGCACACCTGTGATTCATTTATAGTTTGTCAAAAGTTAGAACTCCCCCAACCATTCGTCTGGACCCGTGGCTATGACTATGGTAACGCGGTATAACTAGTAGGGGTGTGGGGTCACCGCTTAGGACAGGTTTTGGCTCAGGTCAGCGAGAGAAAGGGAATCTTTTTCTTTGGTCTATTGTGTTAGTCATGAGAATCTACCCTCTCTGAAATACGCCATTCTTGTTCACATAGCAGCAGACGGCCTCCGATTTTGTGGCGGGGGAGTTCTTACCGTAGACAAACTGTACCAATTGATATTCACAAACGAAAGTCGTTAACTTGAAAATGAGTTTACACTGAAATTAAAATTTCCTCCCAATATCCAACTTTTAACAGACATGATTCAGTTTGAACCAGGATTGGAGTTTTGAATGGGACATGTGAGTTTTACTGTCCTAAACTGTCTTAAAGTGTCCAAAACCTTGAACATTGGTAAAAGGTACAAGATCTATATGTGTAACCATTAAACACATACAGTGTTTTCATTACAAAAAAAAATGGAGGAGAATTTCTCACCCTTTCTCAAAAACAAGGTGAGATTTCAAAAAGTTAAGTGAGATTTCTAAAAATTAAAAAAACACAAATAGACTTGGAAAAAGATTATTTCTTTAATTATAGTACATTTTTAACATCTTCTAATTGAATATTTTTTGCTGTATCATCATATGGAAAATGTTCTATATCTACTTTTTCATCAGCTATTACATTTATTTGGCTGAAAATTATCCGTATTTGTTTCATTTTTATTTGTCCATTACGGAGTAGAAGATGTCGCCTTAATCTTACATTCATGCACAAAAAATGTAAACATCTTACATGAAGAAACCTTACCTACAGTGAACATGTGGTTGCAGAGAAATGTGTTCTGAAAGGGGTTCGGGGGGGTGTTCTGCTGTTCGCTCCGGTTCTGAATAATACTGGTAACTAGGGAAGCTGGATAACAAGGACCGATGTTCAAAATAATGAAGGATCAAGGAAGAAAAGTGAGGCGAATTTTATTCAAAATGGCAAAAGATGAAATTTTTTCAAAAATTCGCACATTTTGAAATTGATTAATAGAGTAAGCGAACTTCTCGCATTAATAATTTTTTATTGCGAGAAAAGAAAAAATATGCAAGATTCTCGCGCTGCAGTGAAAACACTGACATAATAATTACATATATTAATGAATATTTGATACTTTTTATACAATTTGCATTAACTTATTGAAGGGAAGTAATATAATATAATACAGGGATGAGATTCTTCCTCGGATTCGCGGATTTCTGCTCTTTTTTTTTCTTTCAAATTCAAAAAATTTCCCGCTAATTTCTGCTGGAAATTTTTTTTGCACAAAGTAAAATATTTTATGAGGAATTTAATTTTCCGATGAGCGAAATTATTAAAGTCCTTATTCCTCCCTCTGAAGTTTTCCTAAAAATCATTTCCTTGGGATAAAACTGGTTAACCTTTATACAGGGATGAGATTTTTTTTGTCTCGAATTTCAGCCTTTTTATCAAAAACTCCGATTCTCTGAAAGTTTAGTTTTTTTTAAATAAATATCCCTCTTTTTTTTTTTTTTTTTTTGAAATTCAGTTGTTGAAGTAAAATAATTATATTTATTTACGATTTTCAAAGATGAACAGAAAATTCGAACTGCTTCCTAGCTGCTTACCCTCCCGCATTTTTATTTATATTAGCTATTTTCTCCGATTTCACGCACAGAAAGTAAGATTTTCCGTATTTTTTGTCCGTCGGCGGGATAGCTCGTATTTTCGTAATTCAGATGTCGCTGCTTCTTGTATTCTGGCATGAAAACAAATAAAAAAAGAAATAGAGGTGGATTTGCGGTGAAAATATTTATTTACTCATTCAGTTAATCTTGTAAATTTTTATTTATTATGTCTAAACAAAAACAATACAAACAAGCCTTTTAGAAATCCCAAGTCCAGGCTCTGCAAATATCTCGATTTTTATTCACGCGATTTTAATATCAATCATCGATTTTCGTATTTACCTGATTTAAAAGTTGCA